TCTGAAAAAGAAAGTATGATAAATCTATTGTTTGAACTTCCTAAACAGCTAGAGTAGTAGTCCATACTGAATGCTACCTGCCATCCAACTTATAAAAACATAAAGCTAGAGGATGAAAATCTAAAGTAAAACATTTTAAAAAGTGCAGGAAACAATGGAGTATGTTTGTTAAGATTTCTGCCTATCTGCATTTTTCTTTTTCAGACAGGTATGTCAATTCTTAAGAATATTGAGATTAGTTCATATATATATATACACACACCGTATTTTTCAGAGTATAAGATGCACTTCCGGTCCCCCCTAAAAGTGGGTGAAAATTTCGGTACATCTTATAAACCGAATACAGCCATTTTTGGGCTCCAGAACCGTCCGTGCATCATATTTTCGCCCTCCCCAGCCCCCAGAAGCATTCTGTAGTGCTCCGCATGGCCCATTTTTGCCAAGAAATGGGCCCAATTTTGCCAAAAACGAGCCTGTTTTTGGGCTTCCCAACCCTCCATGTGTTGTGTTTTCGCCCTCCCCAGCCCCCTGAAGCACTCTGCAGGCCAAAAATGGGCACATTTTTGGGGAAAACAGGATGCACGGAAGGTTTGGGAGGCCACAAATGGGCCTGTTTTTGGCCTGCAAAGTGCTTCTGGGGGCCAGGGAGGCAAAAACGGGATGCGCAGGGGCCAGAAACTTCTTCTTGTTTTCTTCCTCTAAATCTAGGTGTGTCTTAGTTCGGTGCGTCTTATAGTCCAAAAAATACAGTAAGTTGTTTCAGGAGTGGAAAATATAAGGCCATCCAAATATTATTCAACTCTATTACCCTTATCCAGCATGTCTAATATGAGATAAAAATTGTACTTCAATAATATCTAGGAAGTTATACTTTCCTCTCCCTTATTTTAAAAAAAACATTAGCCTTTTTTTGTTCTGAGTTAGTTATCTTTCCTGTAAAAACATAAATTAATTCAATTTATCAATGAACATCCTAAGAAATACTTTGTAAAAGTTTTTAATTTCAACTTCTATAAGTTTAATATATAATTATCCTTTCTAGAACATAATAAGAATCACCAAGAAAAACCTCTATACAAAGAACAAAATTTGGAATAATTGAAAATCTCTATGTGAAATATAAAAGCTTGACTTTTGATTTTTGTAAAATGAGTAATTCAGCATCATTCAGTACTATATTTAATTGTGAAGCCCTTTTGAAAGTAGCACTGTGCTATGTCACTAATAGTACAACACTGGGAGTAGGTACCAGTCAATAGCATCCCACATATTGTTGACCTACAATCATGACCAATCCAACAAGTATAAATAAAATGCTGTTGAAAAATAAAGTTGTAGTTCAGCAACATTCAGAATGCTACACATTGCCTACACTGTACTATGCTTTTCACAACATACATTCACTGTCTGTAATAAATAAAAATGCTGGAGGATGAAGATCAAGTGAATTGTAATAGATAGGACAGAACTGCTGGGGGAGGAGAAAGATTAGGTAAAGGCAAGTTATGCCATAGAGAGCCTGTGCTTTTAGAGTCCTCATTAGGTGTGGCATATTGCAAGGGATTCAGAAGCATATATTCTTTGCTAGGGCTTCTCTCCTATGGGACTATAGGTTGTCTTTGAATTACAACCATTCATTTAGTGACCATTCAAAGTATCAATAGCAATAAAAAAGTGACATGCCCGTTTTTCACACTTACAACTGTTACAGCACCCTAATGGTCAGGTGATCAAAATTCAGATGCTTGGCAACTGGTTCATATTTATGACAGTTGCAGCGTCCTGGGTCAGGTGATCACATTTTGCGACGTCCTGACAAGCAAAGTCAATGGAGGAGCCAGATTCACTTAACAACTGTGTTACAAACTTAACTGAAGTGATTCCGTTAACAACTGCAACAAGAAAGGTCACAAAATAGGGTAAAATTCACTTAACAACTGTCTCAGTTACTAAGAGAAATTTTGGCTTAATTGTAGTTGTAAGTCAAGAACTACCTGTAGTTACCTCAAAAATAAGATCCCATTCTTGCTGTTAATATTCAGAAAAATTACTAATATGTACAGTACTTGGGATATATGGGTGTTGCTTCTTTTATTTTGTTAACGGTTACTATTGTTATCAATTACATGTGTGTATATGTGTGTATTGTTCAAGATATTATTGTCAATAAGTGCATATTGCTTACATGCACTCATAATAAATAAATAAAAATTATGGTCCAGGAACATAATTTATGCGTACATGAATTAAATGAGGTACAAACAGAAATGAAGTCATGAAGTCTGTGCAAGACAGAGAACAGGAAATAACTTGGTTACCATGACAATACAGGTGTTTCTCCACTTTCATGTTAAAGAAAGCAAGTTCAGTACGGCTTAAGTTTAAAGAAATTCCATTAGATAAAATGTTGAAATGATTATATGTTGCTAAGTGTATTCTTTTAAAAATACAAGCATGCGAACACCACTACAATCAAAAGAATGGTGGCCAGTGTACAGATGTAATCACACATATTAATCTAACATATCCGCTGCATTAGGTAAGCATTTGGCAATACAAATGTACAAGGTGACTATACAGAAGAATTAAAAACATTGTTGTGCTCTAGAAAAGCAAAACAAAATCAAATTGCACAACTATTGGAGTTTCAGGGGAAAAGGCAACCAAGAAACCTAAAGAATTATTTTGTTTACTGAAGTGCATCATTAAATGTTACTTTTAATAAGAACTTAAGTTCTCCAAAGACTGCACCCTTACTTGTGGTATTTCCTCAGAGAATGACAATTTATGTACCTGTGCCAAATTTGTTAACTTGAAAAATACATTTTGAGCAGGCATTATCACAATAAAATTTGAACTGCTAATCTAAAACAGAGTTTTCTGTTTGTAAACTGAAAGCTCTAACCTACCATATAGTGAGGAAAAAATAAACAATGCACACATAACCGATTTGTATTTAAAATAAACTAAGAAGTGTTTTCCTCCAAAACAACCAGATTCAGATGTCTATATGCTTACTTAAAAAATCTTTGGAGAGATAAACATAATTTAAATACTAACTAAACAGATGTATACATAATAACATTTGCTTTTTTGAAGCTGCCCTATTTATTAAAAAAATAAATCTAACGTATTCTATATTATCAGAAGGCTTCCATTAACAACTGAAGACCAACCACAGTCAAATGCAAATTTCATTTGTTATCTTGGGAACAGGCATGTGACAAATCTCTACTCAATAAGCAGGCATCATAGTCCTGTTTTGCCCAAGGAAAAACATATTTCAAAATTCTTGACTACATCATCTTTCATATCAGACTTGTACACACTTACAACTAGTTAAAAATATAACAGCACCAGCAATTAGGTGTGGCTTTAAAATTATTTTTAATTTTTTTCTATTTAAACAGAGATTTAATAAAAATTTATCCACTGAGCTTTCCAATAAATCATTTTTTTCAATATTTTGAAAGAACTTCTTAAAATTAACTTTAAAAAGACAGTATATTTAAACAAATTAGTCTACATATATTAAGGATAATATTTTGAACACATTAAATGTTTTCAGTGTTTATCTCTACACACAAATAATCAGTATAGAAATCAATTGGTTGTCAAAATTATGTACTACAAAACAAATGTACTGCATGAAACTGTTTTTTAAGTGTCTAAAAGATCCTGATATATTTTCTATTGATCCTAACCTGAGATTTCTAAAAAGGAATAAGAGCCCTGTTATGTGCACTTTCTTAAATCATGCTTCTATGGAAATTAGAACACAGTACTTAGAAAGGGTGTTTATTTGGACTCAGCCAGGTAATAGTCCTCAAATTACAACAGTATGTTTAGTGACATTTCAAAGTTACAATGGCACTGAAAAAAGTAACTTGTGTGGTTGTTTTTTCACACTTACAACCATTGCAGCATCCCCTTGGTCACATGATTAAAATTCAGACATTTGGCAACTGACTCATATTTATGATGATTGCAGCATCCTGGGGCTATGTGATCTCCTTTTGCGACCTTCTGATGAGCAAAATCAATGGGGAAGCCAGATTCACTTAACAACCATGTTACTAACTTTAACAACTGCAGTGATTCACTTAACAACTGTGGCCAAGAAAAAGTCATAAAATGGGGCAAAAGTCACTTAACAAATATGTCACTTAGCAACAGAAATTTTGGGCTCAATTGTGATCGTGTAAATTGAGCACTACCTGTATTGGAAAAAGTGCAGGGGGAAGGGAGTCAGGAAGTGCTAATTGGGGAATCACTGAAAGGAAACACAAGGTTGATCCGGGGATTGCAGTGGCTGGACAAGGCCTGTAACAGGAACGGCAAAGCGAAGGAAGGAAAAAAAAACACCAAAACCCTGGGGAATCGGGGGTGGGTGTGCCTGGATAATCACGACCACGGGGGTCCTTGGGGGAAGCGGTAAAGCCAGGGCACGCTGTCCTTCTCTTTACAACCCGAAATCCTTTCCCCGCCGGGTGGAAATGACGACGGCTGGCAATTTTGCAAGCATTAAGAGACGTGGGGTCAGGTACAAGTAGATTATTCCCTGCCGAGAACGACCGAGGCCCTCATAGAGGCCGGTCACTTTCTAATCAAAAAAAAAAGGGGGGGAGGAACGTTAGCAAAAATCCAGATCCTCCCCCACCCCCCCAGTCCCTCCTGCACCCCAACGCGCCGGCACAATGTACGCGAAGGAAAGGGAACCTCTTTCCCGGGAAGCCGCCGGGTCTCTCACCTCGGGAAGGGGCGGAGTTTCCCCTCGGCGAGGATGGAGGCGTCCGCAGGACGGGAAGATGTGGGGTGGGGGGGAGAGAGAGAGAGAGTTGGGGCATGTTGAGACGGGGGGGTGGGGGAGGCGGGGGAAGCGGCCAGCAACAACAGCGGTTTACCTCTCCACCTCCTGAGGCGGAAAAGACCGGGGGGGGGGGGGGGGAGGCCGTCAGGAAAAACAACCTTTCTCGTATTTCTCCGTCTCCCTCTCTCACCTCAGTGGGGGGACTGATCTCAAACAGGTCCAGCCGGTTCGCGTTCCAGTGGTTGATGATATCGGCCAGCTTGCGCCGTTCCTCCTCGCGGCTACCTCCTCCGACACCAACACCGCCACCACCGCCGCCGCCCGACATCCTTCTCGGCCGTCCTCCGGGTTTCTCGCAGCCGCCGACACGAACGGGAGGGCCCGTGACGGCCCGGCAACGGAGTTCCCGGTGAATATGTTGGGGTGGGTTGTTTTTTTTTTTTTTTTTTTCTCCCCCCCAAAAAAAAAAAAAAAAAGCGGTGTGGGTGAAGGAAAGGCAAGCAGGGCAACCAGTCCTTTTGGTGCCGCCCCTCGCCGAGCAAATCCTCCTCCTTCAACGAAAGCCCAGACTTTGCCCCCTTCGCTTCAAAAGCGCAGGGCACCCCGAGAGGCTCTTGAGGTTTCGGTGGCAGCGCTTCCTGTTCGGCAGCGTCTCTCCTTTGCCTCACGGAACAACGCCGCCGCCTCACTCCCCGCCCCGGCTGTCTCCTTTCCTTCCTCCCCGCCTTTTCTCACAGAGAGAGAGAGAGAGAGACGCTCACAGACACCGTTTCGTGCGCGCGGCCGCTCCGCCGTTCTATCACGAGCGCGTCACAAACGCCTCTCACCTCCTCCTCTCCCCTCCCCCTCCCCACCCGCCCCGGTCCTTTGCGCGCGCACCTCCAGGAAAGCATCCGCGCGCCGATGTCAGGTCAAGAGCGGGCGAGGGCGCGCTGGGAAAGCAGTTGAACGCCTATTGCTCTCACCTCCCTCCCTCCCCCCCTCCCTCAGCGTCTGGGTTTGTGTGTGTGTGTCCGTCTCTCTGTAAGAGGAGGAATTAGCACTCGAGGGCGTTGAGTTTGAAATCCGCGTGGACAAGGGAGAGTCGCTCGGTAGCCGGGCAAGGCTGCGAGGAACAATGAAAGGGTGGCGACTGAAAAGGGGCTGGGTCTGAATGGAGGACGAGGTTGCGGATAAAAAGCGCTTGGGAGTGAACGTTCGGGTTTGTTTTTGTTTTCAGCCGCTCAGGTTCTATAAAGACCCGGAAAGGCTGCTTGCAAACAACCTGCCGTGGAGTCGCTGGAGAATAAAACAGGCACAATGTGGAGAACCGGACGGTGCTGGACTTGAGTTTAAAGTAGTCTCTTTAATTGTGCTGGAACCTTGTTCAGAGTTGTTGGGCATATCCATTTCCATCATTTTTCCACAAGAAAAGTCTGGTTTGGAATAGACCGTGGAATGAAATTTCTTGGCGACGATCCTCACTACACCTGTCCGGTTAATCCGGTTGAATTTAGTGAGGTCTGTTGCTGAATGCCTGCTTTTAATGTCCCAGGATTTAATAATTTCATTGAACCCAAGATAGGCCGGGGAAGTTCTGGCGGTCATTTGATGTTACTTTTTCTCTTGATCAAGCCTGCTTTCTTCCTAAAACAGAAAGAATTTCAGAAAAAAATACAGGAAATCCTTCATGAAAAAATATGCAATTTTTGAATGCGATGATTATAAAGTGTAGCTCCTACTTCTGTAAAATAGCCATAGGACTTAGTTTTATATACCGCTTCACAGTGCTTTACAGCCCTCTCTAAGCGGTTTACAGTATCAGCATATTACCCCAACAATCTGGGTCCTCATTACCAATTTAACATTATTATATGAGTAAATAAAACTGGTCTACAAAGTGGAAAATACTCCAGATTTCCTAATATATATATAGAATAAACTGATTTGGTACTTCGTATTGATTAACTTCAGAAAGCTTATTTTAGTCTTACTGTGGGAAATGGATAGGCAGCAGGTGCCTTGGCCCCCCCAAAAATGAATAAAGTGTTATGCTCACAGATGCACAAGCAATATAATATAAAAAGCAGCTGAGGGACTGACTTTTTTGAAGTTACATACATGCTTAGCCATTAGCTACCTAATGAATGAGCATGTATGTAAGCAAGATGATATACATGCCCTTCCTCTGGGCATGTTTGTAGAATGAGTCATCACCTTCAACAGTAAATGAGAGAGAGTAGAAAAACCTATAGTCATTTGTACCCAATTTAATTATTTACATTTGTTAGAGGGCAGATTGAAAGTCCAAATGATTAAATTGCTTAACAAAGTAATCAGTGGTATGTTTAAGTTAACTATGATCCTTTCTTAGACGTATGACTTGGAATTCTGAGTTCCGGTCACTTCTATCATTGTTCTGGGTCTATATCTTTAAGTACTGAGTAATTAAAGTCTGTTGATATAAAGTCAGGTTAAACAAATGCCAACTCATTAATTTGATTACTTGATTGTTATCAAATTAATAAAATGGTTATACAAATATAGAAAAGTTAAGAATGGATTTCTCTAAGCAAAAAAACTGGCCAAATTCCAGGAATGCTTGAGTTTCCAAAGAGTCCCATCTGTGCACCAATTGTTCATCAATTAATAATGAATTTAGTTCCATGTTATTGTGACTTGGAGAAATATATATGTTCTATATTTTATCATATAAATTTTATGTTGCAATTATCAACTTTAAAATTACTGTATTTTTCAGTGTATAAGATGCATTTCCCCCTCCAAAAGTAGGTGAAAATGTCTGTGCGTCTTATAGAGCTAATGTTGCCGGAGCCCCGCTGGCCCCCACCCTTCGGTCCCTGCTTCCCAGTAATGGGAGGCCTGGTCAACTTCAGCACAGCCTGATTTAGCATGAGCAGCTGATTGGCGGTTGGATCGGCCTCCCTGAATACTCCCTGAATACTGCCTAACAGCTGTTCCACACTGCGAGGATTGCCACCCCCCTTTGCTGACCATCGCAGCCTCCATTTTCAGCCTCCGTGCATCCCATTTTCAGCCTCCGCATGCCCCATTTTTGGCCCGTTCCAGGCAGCGGGGATAGGCAATCCCCACCAACTGGAATGGCCTGAAAACAGGGTGCACAGAGACTGAAAATGAGGTGCGAGGAGGCCGAAAATGGGAGCCATGTGGAGGCGGTGATAGGTGGTGTGGCAATAGCAGCTATGGAGGGTGACAATCCCCACAGCCTGGAACAGCTGGTAGGCGGTATTCCGGGAGGCAGATCCAACCGCCAAACAGCTGCTCATGCTAAATCAGGCTGTGCTGAAGCTGACCAGTCTGTTTGCTGTTTGATGCAAGGAGGCAAATTGCTGGGAGGCAGAAACAGAGGCAGATTTTTTTTTTCTTGTTTTCCTCCCCAAAAGCTAGGTGTGTCTTATAGTCTGGAGCGTCTTATAGTCTGAAAAATACAGTATGTGTTCCGGGATGTGGAGACCTGTAATGCATTGATTTTGGAAAGCATTATCCTGAGAGCTTTTTACATAATAAATTGCAAAGAATTCATTTATGGATGCACAGAATTTATTTCCAATTTCTTGATAATTGTCCTTTTGTCTTCTGTTAAGCTTGTGCTTCTGATAGCGACCGATTTCTTTCCCATAAAATAAATGCTAGGTCATCGTTTTAAAAAGACTTTTCATAGATTCCCTCCTATACTGGAGTGTAAAACTAGGTAGATTTTTTTTTTAATTGGGCAAAGTAGTGGCACATACAAAGATGAACATCGAACAATTGAAAGAAGCTGTGCTTGACAGGGTAGCATGGAGAGCACTTGCCTGTAACATCGCTAAGAGTCAGACCCAACTAAATGGTTAAAATAATAACGGTGGCAAAGATATATCACCAATTAATCTTCTGCCTTCTTTCTCATCCAAATATATTTGAAAATGTTGGGATTTTATTGTAGAGATATCAAAACAGTTAATATTCAGTATTGTTTTGACTGCACAGTTGCTTGATACATTTAAGTGTTTTCGCTGTATTTTTAATCATATGTCAGGTATATCAAACTCCCTTTGACTCAAAGCTGAATAAATTGGTTCCACTGCAACCCTCCACATGAGTCAGGGCAGGGGAGAGTTTTGCCTGAGGCCTATGCTTAAGAACTTGGCATACAGTCATGTGCCTTTGAAGAGGCCACAACAAGGTATTTACCATGTATTTTCACATAACCAGCCAGAATGAAAGAGCTCAAGTGCATCACATTCATATAATAGCTAGATACATACGTTGTTATCAGCATAAGCTACCAGTTCCAGTTAAATGCTAGTGGTGTGCACCTTATCTTTACCCTTGTTATGACTATATTTTCCCTCAGGTCCTTGGAAAATAAGGAAAATCTAAGCCTAGAAATGACAACTTTGCTGATGATGAAGATCAGAACAATGAGAAAAAAACAAGACCTTTCCATTTTAAATGCAGCAGAGAAAAGATCCTTATTGCTTGAAAGCAACTATTCACTATTGCTTGAAAGTCAAAAGTCTACATTGATTTACTCAAATCCCGTAAGAGTTCCCTGTAATCTAATTAATTTCCTCTTTTTAATTGTTGTACAGGAAAATTAAACGTTTGCTGAATACTACTAAGTAGTTAAAATTGTATTTGATTTGGGATGAGATTAGTCAGAAATCCTTTACCAATGAAGGTATTCTAATTATATTTTAAACCTTTAGTAACAGTTCTGCAAATAAGTCACTCTTAGAAACTGTGAGATGTTTATCATCTTGTCTCTCTTATTTTTCTTAAAATGAATGTTCAAATAATAGGACATTGTCAAAGGAAGAGCATAGTTATGCTTTATCTTTTAACACTAGTCATCTGCTTATACATTGACAGGAATTGAATGATAATGGGAAATTATATTGATAGACATTAGCAGTATCTAATAGACTCCATAGTAATTTTGGCCGTTGATAACAATTTAACAACTATGCTATCTTAAAAACACCTGTATTTGTTTCATGCACACGTTTCATGGTTAAGGAAAGGTTTCTACAACAAAGGTAGAATTTCATAAAATATATCTAGATTGCATCCTCCCAAAATAATGAAATAATAATATTTATTGTTAAAATGAATATGCTCCAACATACTGAAAAGCTCTAAGCCAGGGGTGTCAAACTTGTGACCTCATGGCAGCGTTGCATGACATATTGTGGCTTTTTCCCCCTTCGCTAAATTAGGCGTGGCCAGCGTGTGACGCATCCAGCCCGCGGGGCACGAGTTTAACAGCTCTGCTCTAAGGTGTATCAATTGATGGTTTTATCTGATAGGAAGTATTTTTGCAAATTAAGAGTATCTCAATTTTGACCAATCACAACCCCTTAAAATCCCCATTTCCTTCAGGTTTTTTGGTGGGCAGTGGTTGCGGGGGAGGGGAAGGTAAACAGCTTTTTGGAACAAAATGATATATGATATGGAGGATTCTATTAGATAGAATTACAGGGGAAAAACCTCTACCTTACAGAAATGGTTGAATTTTCTTTGAACAATTGTTTGTTTCTGCAATAAAAACTCAGAAAAGGCATTAATAACTGTCTTCAAAGTTATTAGAACTTTGAAAGTTCAATTCAAATAATAGTTGTATCTGAAATTATTAAAACCAAAAAAATAAAAGTCAAGGAGCTGTCATTGTTATTATTTACATGTGTATTTATTTATTCAATTATTCCAGTGTGTTTTTAATAAACTATTTAGCATAGGCCAGGTAGAATAATATTTAAAATACTATTATCTTTAGCCAGAGGTATTGGATTTGTAGAACACAATATGTATTATTTTTAAAAAAGGAAATAAGTGCCATTTTCTCCTTGTTGAGAAAAATGTGATGGATTTTAAAATGACCTACTCTGGACACACTAAAATGACCTACTCTGGACACACTAACTGATCCAAAAAGTAGATTTTAAAAAACTAGTACTCAATAACGTTTTCTGTGCCATTTATGTCATGATGCAAATTTTTTCTCAGTCATAGGTATTCTCAAAATAATTTTTAATGTAAATTCAGCTTACCTAGGATTTATATTGTTCATCACAAATATTTGCTATTTAGTCTGAAAATTATCCAGCATTGTGCAATCAGACTAAATGTTGCAGATAAGGAACGCTGATATGTAGAATTTTAGCTGACATCAAAATTTAGGTGTCTGGGTCACTGAATTATAGGCCTTTAATACTATATTCTAAATCTACATTTGCAAAACAAAACAGAAAAGAACAGAAACAACCATGCTACTTGTGGAACTGGTTTTTCTGGAATAAATTTAGCAGTATGGCTAAAATAGCTTACAAATTGTTAATTCATTTGCTTAGTGCCAGTGTACTTAGGTCTGTGGTTCTTTCACATAGTATATCATGGATAGTGATAGGATATCAATTTGTTGATATTGTTGACTTTACTGAACCCTCTTTTCTTTCAAAAAATAAAAATTTTACCCTCAAATTCTCCTTTTTTACCAGATTCTGAGCTTTTTCTGATATATAGTCGTTGTTCCTAGCACATTTTCTTACCCATATTTGGCAATACAATTTCCCTTCTCTTCATCTTTACCTTTTCCTATCATATGAGACAAAAATAGATCTCTGGGGGAGTCCCTGAATGATTGGCATTGCTTTGGGGAATTACTTCTGTATTACAAAGTAAGCCTAGCCCAGCAGTAGAATTTAATTTTATATAGTCTTTAAAAAAAATAAGTTTTTACTTTATAAAATTTAGGATGGTTAGCATTTTGGATTCAATGTTTTGAAAGTGCTTCAGAGCTCATCAGATTACATAAACCTGTCTTCAGCTCTTTATAGCAGCCATGTCTTTCTGGAACATAAGGCAGCTGCTGTAAAGAGTTACAGGCATGTAATGTTCATCCTCCTCATGCCTAGTAGCTGCTGACAGTACATATTAACTTCTACCCAATCCCAAGTGCTAAAACCTTTTTTTTTAAAGCCTTGATTTTTCCCTATGATCAGAGTGCAGCACTTTGTGCACTACACAAAGCCTAGCCTAATCTTTGAGCCAATGGAAATCATAGAATGCTGGTTTAAATATTTGCATGCCTGTTTAAATATGTGAACAAGCTACAGTATGTATAAACTTAAGATCCTTTGTAAAGGAAGCTGAGCAACTTATCCAGGTTCAAAAATTAGGCATTAGTAGGGTGAACAGAAAGCAAATAAATCATGCAAAAGAAAGGAATTTAAGCATATTTATTTTATTTAAGTAGGACTCCAAATTTTGATTATGTTGATTCAGAAATGTTATTGGGGCAGAATAATTGAATACAATTAAATTATTTATTTGAACTGTTCCTACATAATTACCAAAAGTTTATGCTTACTTGTAAAGTAAATGTAATTGAAAACAGTGAGATTTACTTCTGAGTAGGCACAAGATTTTACTAATTTCCCTTATTTTTAAAAAAGGAAAATCTATATGCTCATTTGCAAAATGATTCCAGAGTTTGTGAATCAACGCCATCAAACTTGCAACCAGACTCACATCTATTGAGCAAAATAACAACTTCATTGTATTCAAGCTGTAGCATTAATATCATTGCTCTAAACAACTTTGTGGTGAGAAGTTAAATATATATTTTCATACTTTTCAAATTTCACACTATGACTAATACATACCAGATAAATCAGTAAACTCTAAAATGAAGCCATGAATAGCAGATTGAGTATTAACTAAAAAAAAAAGCCACCCTCACAAATGTGTAAGCACTATTCCTACAGATTCCAAACTGATTGTCTAAAAGCCCATTCCTATGTGATATATGGTAGCGATGCGGTGGCTCAGTGGCTAAGATACTGAGCTTGTTGATCAAAAGGTCAGCGGTTCTAATCCCTAGTGCTGCCATAACGGTGAGCTCCCATTACTTGTTCCAGCTTGTGCCAACCTAGCAGTTCAAAAGCACGTAAAAAATACAAATAGAAAAATAGGGACCACCTTTGGTGGGAAGGTAACAGTGTTCCGTGCCCCTTTGGTGTTTAGTCATGCCGGTCACATGACCACGGAGACGTCTTCGGACAGCACTGGGTCTTCGGCTTTGAAACTGAGATGAGCACCGCCCCTTGGAGTCAGGAATGACTAGTATATATATCTGATATATACGTGGGGGCAAATATTTTTTGGCACCACAATCAAGAAAAAGAGAAATTAAAAATCATTTAGCCTCTCATTTAAAGAAACCTAAACAGTCAAGATATAAACAGCAAAAGATTAAACAGCAAACATTTATTTTATCTTTTGAGTTACCCACTGGGTACCCACTGAGTTACCCACTGGGCTCTGGACGGCCTCTGACCTCTGCACTTTCTGCGGCGACCTGAAGACATGGCTTTTTCAGCAAATTCCCTGATCTGCCAGGAGTTTTAATTACTTGGGGATTTTAAATTGGATTATTTTAATATCATTTTATTGTCGTGTTGTTTTTTCTTGTGAGCTGCCCCGAGTTCTATGGGAGAAGGGTGGCATATAGATACGATAAAATAAAAATAAATAAATTTGAAAATTGAAGCAGACAAATCCCACAGCTATCTCTCCTTACTCAACAGTAAACATTCTCTGGTCTTTCTTCAGATTATATCAGTCTTTTTCATTTTATCTCAAGATCATAAATATTCCATAAAATTACTAACACATTGCTGCTTTAGCTGCCTAAAGCTAGTGACTCACCCTGTAATGGACTAATGAACAGATATAGCATTTATCCACTTGGAATAACTAGTGATTTATTGGAGATTATGGGAATTCTAATGCAACAACTAGAGGGGATACCAAATTGTGGATTTTTTTCCTAACACCCACTTAGAAGCATAATTTTGTATGTCATAAAATCGCCTTCTCACTGTTAACAGCCCAGTATAGGGATATATTAAAATATTTGATCAAATATATTTGTTTGTGCTCTTTACAAATATCTGGGGACAGAGTCATAATGCATCTTTTCATTCTTGGAGGAAAAGATTCCCAGGGTTCCTTTCTCTGGCTAAAGAAAGCCTACACTTGCTTGAAATATGTATTGTTATTAAAGGGTGTGGTAATTTTGGAAGATGAGATAACAGCAGTCTTCTAAAATAAATGACCTGGTAATCCAAGTCTGTTTTAACAAAAATAAGATATTATTTCATCCCACATGGTAATTTACATGGCCCAAAAGCAATATCCTTCCTTCCTTCCTAAGATTTATAACTCTGGTCATCTTATGCAACATAATCATGAGCAGCTCATAATAAAACAGGAAAAAAGAAAAGAAAAATCAACATAGAATCTTCCAATGCAATCTCCCAAGTGCAACACATCCCCATGTATCTCTCAATAACTTTACTTGGCTTTAGTCTCACACTACCCAAAACTTGTGGGAAAAGCCAGATCATCAAGAATTTTCAGAAAGCTAGGAAGGTAGGGGCCTGCTAGATCTTGGGGAAGTGCAGAGAGCATTACTGAGAAGCTGTGGTGCCTAGTTCTCACTAAATGGTAGTTTTTAAGAGGAAGAACCTGGAGAGGACCTATCCTATCTGACCTAGTGGAACAGGCAGATACCCCCAGGGAGAGGCAGTCCTACAAATAATTTGCCCGGTGCCATTCACGCTTTAAAAATGATTAACTAGAACCTTGAATCATATCTGGAAAGAAACTGAAAGTCAATGCAGTGATGTAACGTGAGCCCCACTTTTCTGAATTGTCTTCAAGGCCAACTCCATGCAGAGGTACCAACTTTTTTTCCCCAACATCCCCTGTCCGCTCAAGGAGATATAGCCCTTTGCCATGTACCAGGATCACGTCATTCCCTTTTGTGACCTTCTGAGAAGCAAAGTCAATGGGGAAGCCACGTTCACTTAATAACCAGGTTAATAACTTTATCAACTGCAGTGATTCACTTAACTGTGGCAAGAAACGTCGTAAAATGGGGCAAAACTCACTTAACGAATATTTCACTTAGCAACAGAAATTTTGGGCTCAATTCTGGTCGCAAGTCAAGGACTCTGCAAAGTTCAATGTGTCATACAAATGCAGAAAAAATGGGAATGAATAAATCAGGTTAGGTTAAGGAAATAATAGATTTAATGTGTCATACAGATATAACTTCTATTGTGCAAACAGAGCCGATATGGTTAGTTTATAGTGTGCTATAGACCCCAGACATTTTTTGTGTGTCTGTGTGCTTTCTGATAAATGGCTGGTGAACTTGCCAACATCTTGTCTTCCACTAAGTTTATTAGAAGGAATGGGTGTTTTCAATGTGGGCAGATGCATGTGTATGATTTATATGTATTAAACAGGATGCCAAATGTTCTATTCCAACCTGCAGGTCAATTGTAATATTTGTGGGGAAAGTTAAATATTCCCTCTGAAAATAAACTACAACCACAGGAACCGAAAACATTTTTCTATTTTTGCTCACTGCCATTGGCTCTATTAACATGCAAAGGTGCAACCATAAACCATGGTAGTCTTCCATGTCTCCAAATATTGTGACAGATCAGAAATTCCCAGCATATACGGAAAATAATGCATTTTATATTTAAACTGGTATTACAGGGTAAAATCTTAAAAAGGAAATCATTTGATTGATGTAACACTGACCAGTAATGAAGATAAGCAAAATTAGCATAATTTTGTGTACAAGTAGT